CAGTTAGTATTGTATTTCGCAGGATGGTTCTGTACATGTTCAAGAATCGCTGCAGATTTTGCAACACAGACAAGAAACATTAAAAGAGCAAATGGCTGTAGCCAAGATGAAAGGTGATGATGCCATGATGCGCAATATTCAGGTAATAAATTGCAAAGTTTTAAAATCTTACAAATTGTATTTGATGATAAATTTTTATATTAATTGATGCTTAAAATAATAACTGTCTCAGTGGATTGATTAGTCTATGTTGAAGGCTCTAGCCTGGCTTCCATGTAAAACATTGGTGACTAAGAGCTTTTTCTTATATTCCTAAATGTCATGAACGCCGTCATTTTGAGCATGAAAGTGATTACAAAGCCTTCAGGTTTGATTTTCTTGTTAAACCTTGATATAATTTGACACCGCTGCACAGCCTCTGCAGGACAGTGGGTGAGGGTGACCTTAATGGTATAGACCACAAGTTTTGCTTTCAGATATTTGTTCTTTTTATTTGAAATCTAGGCTACTTATTTACCACATTATGATGATGTGTTTCTGCAAGCATTGTACATCCCACCAAGGAGTGAGTAAACAACTAGTAGAGCTGTTCCCATGAGATAAGTTATGGCTGCAGCACTGCTGAATGTTGCAGACAGTAATATTTGGGAATATGAACATATGAATTCCGTTATTCGATAAGCTCTGAATTTACAAAAAATAAACCCATATTTAACATATGCCATTTCAACCTTTTAAGTTGTGCAGACATTTGTGTTGCAATGCTTTTTTGAAAAAAATCATTATAAATAAAGATGTTTCCAATACTTCACCTTCACATCCATAATAAAAAAGACAGCTTCTCTTAGCAGGTCCTTGGCTGTTACAAATTGGAATATTCAACTTCATGCATGATGAGGACAGTATATTGATCCACGGAATTAATAGACACTTCAACCTGTTTCCACATAATTCTTACGTCAACCACATTTTGAGGAAGATTAAATCTTTTGCCCTTAAACTATGCTGAATATTAGTTGAGTCTTACAAATACTTTTTTGAGGCAAAACCAGCTGTATGTTTAGTATAACAGTGGAACTATTGAGACTTTAGCTTAAAGTGAGAGTCCATTATCTCAAAATTCCTTTGCAAAAGTAAAGATAAATCAAGATACTGTGAAATGGGGTAAGAATGGGTGAGAGGAAAATGAAGAGGAAAAAATCAGAACAATTAGGGGCACTAGTCAGTGACTGGAAGACTTATGCCAATTAATTTGAGCAGTAATGCTCAAGATCTCTTAATAACTCTCTGTAGTAAAGCCACACACCTGATAGCAGGTTTTCAATGACTCCCTTTGATATGAGTTTTATATCTACATACGACATAAAATTTGACAAGCAAAGTCAAGAATTAACCAATAAACCTCTATTAGGAGAGAAGAAAAATACATTACAAAAAGGAATGCTTTGCCCTTGTTTGCGCCTAACTTGCCGAGCTAAAGATGTATAGAAGTGTTCTATTTTGTAAAAGAAAAATTAAAATGAAAAAGTGGAAAATGCACTTTATCAGATGACTTCACCAAACAGGTATGTTACCACCTATGGAAGTGATAAAACTCAAAAAGAATACTGTTTCTGGGGGTAATAAATGAGTTTACAAACCAATTTGCATTCTGACTGAATTTGCTTCATTGACTTCAAATTCGTGAAGTAAATCTTAAGATAGGTGCATATGTGTTCTCTTTTGAACCAATACACAAGTCTGATACATAGTTGAGATCATGATAAAGCAGTGACTGTTGGCTCCTGTGTTTACAATACTGAATCTGGATCCGTTAGCATCATAGGCTTGCTTCACCGTATTTCTGAGATAAGAAAACTGGGTCGAGAAATGTAAATTTGTGAAGTCGATCCACTCTCTCATAATCTGGACTGAATAAGTGGCAGTGTTGAAACATCTATAAATGTACTATCACCATGCTAAATGGGACAGACTTCGCACAGATCTAGCAACTCAAGACTGGGCGCTGTGGGCCATCAACAGCAGCAGAATTGTACTCCAGCACAATCTGTAACCTCACGGCCCGGCATATCCCCCACTCAACCATTACCATCAAGCCAGGGGATCAGCCCTGGTTCAATGAAGAGTGCAGGAAGGCATGCCAGGAGCAGCACCAGGCATACCTGAAGATGAGATATCAACCTGATGAAGTCACCAAACAGCGAAAGCAGCAAGTGATAGACAGAGCTAAGCGATCCCACAACCAACGGATCAGATCTAAGCTCTGCAGTCCTGCCACATCCAGTCACGAATGGTGGTGGACAATTAAACAACTCACCTGGAGGAGGAGGTTCCACAAATATCCCCATCCTCAATGATGGAAGAGCCCAGCACATCAGTGCAAAAGATAAGGCTGAAGTATTCGCAGCAATCTTCAGCCAGAAGTGCCGAGTGGATGATCCATCTCGGCCTCCTCCAGTGGTCCCCACCATTACAGATACCAGTCTTCAGCCAATTCGATTCACTCCACGTGATATCAAGAAACGGTTGGAGGTGCTGGATACTGCAAAGGCTACCGGCCCTGACAACGTTCCGGCAATAGTACTGAAGACTTGTGCTCCAGAACTTGCTGCTCCCGTAGCCAAGTACAGTTACAACACTGGTATCTACCCAATAATGTGGAAAATTGCCCAAGTATGTCCTGTACACAAAAAGCAGGACAAATCCAATCTGGCCAATTACCACCCCATCAGTCTCCTCTCGATCATCAGTAAAGTGATGGAAGGTGTCATCAACAGTGCTATGAAGCAGAACCTGCTCAGCGATGCCCAGTTTGGGTTCCGCCAGGGCCACTTAGCTCCCGATCTCATTACAGCCTTGGTTCAAACATGGACAAAAGAGCTGAATTCCAGAGGTGAGGTCAGAGTGACAGCCCTTGATATCAAGGCTGCATTCGACCGAGTGCGGCATCAAGGAGCCCTGGCAAAACTGGAATCATTGAGTATTGGGGGAAAACACTCCGGTGGTTGGAGTCATACTTGACACATAGGAAGATGGTCATGGTTGAGGGAGGTCAATTGTCCCAGCTGCAGGTCATCTCTGCAGGAGTTCCTCAGAGTAGTGACCTAGGCCCAACCATCTTCAGCTGCTTCATCAATGACCTTCCCTCCATCATGAGGTCAGAATTCGGGATGTTCACCGATGATTTTACAATGTTCAGCACCACTCGTGACTCCTCAGAAACTGAAGCAGTCCATGTTCACATGCAACAATATCTGGACAATATCCAGGTTTGGGCTGACAAGTGGCAAGTGACATTCGCGCCACACAAATGCCAGGCTATGACCATTGCCAATAGGAGACAATCTAACCACCACACCTGGACATTCAATGGTGTTACCATCACTGAATCCCTCACTACCAACATCCTGGGGATTACCATTGACCAGAAACTCAACTGGACTCACCACATAAACACAGTGGCTACAAGAGCAGGCCAGAAGCTGGGAATACTGCAGCGGGTAACTCACCACCTGACTCCTCAAAGCCTGTCCATCATCTACAAGGCACAAGACAGGAGTGTGATGGAATATTCCCCACTTGCCTGGATGAGTGCAGCCCCAACAACAGTGAAGAAACCTGACACCATCCAGGACAAAGCAGCCCGCTTGACTGGCTCTGCATCCACAAGTATATACTCCCTACACCACCAAAGCTCAGTAACAGCAGCGTGTACTATCTACAAGATGCACTGCAGAAATTCACCAAAAATCCTCAGACAGCACCTTCCAAACCCACGACCACTTCCATCTAGAAGGACAAGGGCAATAGATATATGGGAATACCATCACCTCCAAGTTTCTCTCCAAGTCACTCACCATCCTGACTTGGAAATATATTGCCGCTCCTTCACTGTTGCTGGGTCAAAAACCTGGAATTCCCTCCCTAATAGCATTGTGGGTCAACCCACAGCAGGAGGACTGCAGTGGTTCAAAAAGGCAACTCGCCACCTTCTCAAAGGCAACTAGGGATGGGCGAGAAATGCTGGCCAGCCAGCAACGCCCACATCCCACAAATGAATTTTTAAAAATCTGTATTGAAGTCATTTCAGTGCTCTCCATCGATAGTACTGAAAGGCAGGCAAACATAATCAGAGCTTTGATGACGTTAGAAAGAAATAAATTTATGAAGATGAAGAATGAAGATGTTAACGACAAGAAAATTCAAGATTGTTAAAGAAAAATGCATAAGATGTTACATTCTATCCTCTCTCCTGTATGCTTCAGAATCCTGAACAATAAGGAAGAATCTGTGGAAGAAAATAGAAGCCTTTGAAATGTGGATTTTAAGATGTATGTTTAAAGTCCATATCCAAATCGTAAGACAAATGAAGAGATACTTGAAATTGCTGGAGCAAAGAGAACTCTTAAAAAGTGACCACAGAATTGAACATCTCAGTATTTTGGCTGGTCGATTAAATCTGAAAAACTAGAGAGATGACTTTTAGAAGGCAAAATTGGAGGCAGCAGACAGAGGTTTCATCTGAGGCATGGTTGGATGACAGGTGTTAGACAGTGGGTGAATAAGAGCTACAGTAGATGTGTGAGGGTGGGCCAAGACAGACATGCATGACATACCAAAGACAGCAATTCTATTGACAGGATCAGTAGCAATCTGATCTCAAATAAAACAAATGTTCTGAAACACTGGCGTAAATCCGAATAATGCAGATGCTGCAAGTGTTGCAGCTTCCAACAAAATATGCTATCAACACACTCAAATATTTTGATTCCAGAATCACACATTTGTTTCTTTGGATATGAACTCCTGAAACGTGATCTCAAATGTACTGGTTGAGTTCTGAAATCCTAATTTTTTAAACTCTGTTTTTAAAAAAAAAAACCTTCCTTCAGACAATCAATAGCCCAGCTGATTGTGGTCTTCCTGGGCCAAATTTGGCTGCATCAACACTGACATCACACTGTGCATGAATATCACATAAAAAGCCCAGGCCAGATTTCCTGTTCCAAATATGGATGAGATTTGTAAGCCATGCCCTCTAGGAAAGCTTTAACTGCTTCTACATTTTTCATTCTATAGTTTGTTAACTAGCTGCATTTGATGAAGGTATTTTGATTAGAACCAGAAATTTAAGATCAGTGA